CTTCTTGTGGTAAAGCTTTATTTGAAGGCTTACACGGAGGGGTATTTTTCGGAGCGGCAACTGCAGCTTCCTGAAAAAATAATATAAAACCAAAAGCGAAATAGACAAAAAAAATTGTTGCTGCGCAAGGTACTTTGTGGTAGAAGAATTGCTGTTGCAGGAGGATTCTTCGATTCACTCAGGTGATTTGCTTCCAGAACCCCATCCTTAAACAACCCTAGGAAATAAACAAACAAACGAAGCCAATGTGAACAGGAAAAAAGATAAACAAATAAAGAATATAATGTGCAAATCGCTGAATGACTATGTAACTCCCAAAGTGAATTAAACGGCAATTTATAGTCTCGAGTATTACTCGCATAGAACAAATAATCGCGCACTTCTAGCAATGACAAGGCATAACTCCATAAGAATAGTACAAACTGTACTGAGTTCAATAACAAAAAAGCTAAAAAAAACTTTTAAAAATATCTGTCTTACTCAGTTCTGAACATAAGTTACGGAACCAACCTTCTTATCTGTATGCGTGTTTGGGTTCTTCACTTTGTTTTTTAAATTTTTCGCTGCTTTAAGGGCGTCGTCCGGATACATCTTCCAAAGGGCAACTTCACTGGCTTTCTAAGAAAGGGAAGCGAATGAAGAATTTGAAAATAAAAACCAGAACAAAACAGTACGAATAAAAGCATGCGAAGGAAGATTGTGCTACCTGAGCAGCATGTATTTCAGAAGTGTCCTCAGCAGTGAAAGAGCTTTTGCCAAGCGAAAGATGACAAACGAAGCGATCCCCCCTACTATCACTTATCTAAAACTTAAACATTTTAGTTAGCTAATCAAACGTTTTGAAAAAAATGTTAGACAGGCAACCTTTTTTAAAGAATAAGTTTTTGCTCCCTTATAAAGTTTGTTTAAAATAACTTCTGCCTCTGCACCAAGAGTAGGTCTCTGTATCGATGTCTTCGTGGTTCTCCAGCTACTCTGCAGAGAAAAAAGAAGTCTAAAATGTGAGCGGCCGTGATGAAGAAACAGA